GCCGAGGCCGCCGCCCCGGAGGCGAGGCCGTGGCCCTGCGGGACGGGGAGGTCCCGAGGTGAGAGGCTGGGGACCCGCAGGCCTGTGCCCTGTGGGCTGCGAGGCGCTCCTGCCCGGAGGGACAGTTGTCCAGGTGGCGGGAGGAAGAAGGAGCAGAAAAGAGAAAGAGAAGAGAGTGAGCGAGGGCGGAGGGCGGAGGGCGGAGGGCAGAGGGCAGAGGGCAGAGGGCAGAGGGCAGGGCGAGGGGCCGCCACGCAGGCAGGGACGGGGACAGGACAGGGGCAGGAGAGCGGCTGAGAACGAGCTGGACGAGGCAGGGGATGGGGTGCCCCAGGGGCCATGGGCGCCACCGAGGCTGGTCCCCCCACAAGGCCCCCACGCAGCGGAAGGAAGGGGACCAGAGGGGTGGACGGGGCGGGTGCCGGGCACGGGAGGTGGGCCGCGCCTGCTGGGGCTGCTCCCGTGTCTCCAGGGAGGGCGGAGAAGGGACCAGCAGGGGCTCCACGCGAGCAGCAGCAGGTGGGAGGTGGGGCTGGGTGCGGGGTTTCTGCACCTGACTGGGAGCCCTGGACGGGACCGTCCCGTCGCCTGCTCGCGGGCTGTGGGTTGGAAGCGAGGCCGTGCTGTCCGCCTGGCATGCTGTACCTGTGAGCCATGGTTTCCCATCTGTGATGGGCTGGTGTGGGGACGGCCATGAGGGGCCACATGCGGCCGTGGAGGGGTCGCTTTGCCCCTTTAAATGGGGCTGTTCCAGCCGAGCCCCCAGTTCCTGGTGGGCACCTCAGGGGCAGATGACCAGGGCACGTCCACCTGACCGCAGCTGGCGGCAGGACCCGAGTGCCGAGGTCGGCCCCACGTCCCCGTTTGTGCACATAGGAGGCTGAGACCCAGGGAGCTTTGGACTCGTGCTCATTGCTCTGAGGGGACAGGCAGCGAGGGTCTGCAGAACGAGAGGACCCGTAGCCAGGGGCGATGTGATGGAGACCGAGTTAGGGTCAGTCTGGCGGCAGAGCCCGGGCTCTCTCTGTTCTTTCTGCGGCCACGGCCCCCCTGCACCCCCGAGGCACTGGGAGCAGGTTTGGCTCCGGGGCGGGGGGGCTGGAGCGCCGGGCAGAGGGTCCGGCCGCTCCGTACGCTGGGGTGGAGGGCCCCCCGGGAGAGCAGAGCCGCACCTCAGGACCTCCCCGTGCCAGGTGGTGGCTCCAGCCCAGGTGGGCGGCCAGGTTCTGGCCGCCGTGCAGGAACCTGGGGACTGGACTGACCCGAGAGCCATTTCGGCAGTGCCTGCGGGCAGAGCCGTGCGTGGGGCTTGCTGGGTGCGAGGTGGGTCTGGGCAGGAGAGAGGGGAGCGGGGCGGCAGAGGCTCCAGCCAGTGCCAGCCAGCAGTCGCGTGTCACGGAACGTGCCAAGGCCCAGCTTCGCGAGAGGCCCGAGAGCTTTGCCAGGCAGTCCCAGCCCGGCTCGGGAGCGACCGGCTCTCCTGGAGGGCCGTCCAGTGCCAAGAGGAGACGGGGCTGGACCTGGAGATGCAGCCAGGGCTGCCGGCCGGTCATTCAGGGCGCCATGTGGTCAGCCCGCTTGTCCGGTCCCCGGGAGGTCGGCCGAGAGCTGTGGTGAGTAGGCGTGCGCGTGTGCAGGGCGACTGGCTGATGCAGAGGATGCTGCGTGTGAGGGGCGGGGCGCCCGGAAGGTCTTCGGGGCTGCGTGGCACTTGGCCCAGGCCCTCGCAGTGCTGTGGTCAGTGACTCGGAGGACGGGCAGCCCTGCGTGTGCGGTGCGCGGGGCGGAGGCGGGAGCCGCCAGCGAGCACGGGCACGGGCCTCACGGCCAGGCTGGATCCAACAGGCAGGCTGGACCCGAGGAGCGGAGGCCTTGACCTCCGACCCCAAGCCCAGACGGGCAGCCGGTCAGAGCAGATGGGGTCAGAGGTGTGGAGGAGGCTGACCACAGAACACATCACGAGAGGTAGGACCCCTAGCCAGAGGGAGGTGACTGGCCGGGCAGCGGGACGTCGAGCTAGGTTCTGGACCCCTTTCTACTGCGGAGGCGGATGGTCCCCGACCCAGCCTCTGAGGACCCGGGGCAGGGGGCCCTGGGATAGAGGGGCTGGGGGCTCGCGGCTCGGCCCTGTAGAGCCAAGTTGTACGGGGAGACCCAAGAGTGGGCCAGATGCCTGTGAGGAAGATTTCAGGGTCACAGACTCCCTGAGGCTGGACCCGCCCGCAGTACGTGGCACCTGGGTGGCAGCGGCTCTGTTAGGCACCTTCCCCGGGGCCATGTGGGTAGACAGCGGGGGTCCGCCGGCTCCCGAGATGTCTTGGGGCTGGGCGGTGTGATGGGCAGGACTGGGCTGCGGTCGCCCCAATAAGCGTTCAGAGCCTGGCCCCCCAGGACTTGCATGGGGCCCAAGGTAGCCACCACGTCACAGGTGTACAGTGAAGGGGGAGGCAGGAACCCAGGGGCCAGGCGCATCACGGGGCTCGAGGGACAGGCACTATCAAGGGAGGGACTCGTCGTCCCCAGAGCCTGGGATGGGGTCTTGGTCCCTGTGTGGGCAGCTCGCACAGGGCGGGCAGCGTCCGGCAGTGCTGGGGACGGAGCAGTGGCCAGTGGTGCTGGGGACGAGGCAGTGGTCAGCAGTGCTGGGGATGGGGCAGTGTCTGGCAGTGCTGGGGCAGTGGCGGGCGGTGGTGGGGACGGGGCAGTGGCCGGTGGTGCTGCGGACGGGGCAGCGGCCAGTGGTGCTGCGGACGGGGCAGCGGCTCCGGCCAGACAGGAGGAGGATGTAGATCCACGGGGCAGGCGCTCCCCCCCACACCGCAGTCACCCCAGGTGTACCTGCGTGGGAGGTGCTGGGACAGTGGGTCAGAGGTGTGGTGGCCTTCAGATCTGGGCTCCACGAGAGACGGGAGGAGTCCTGTCTGCCTCCCCGTGGCCACGGCCCCTCACAATGTGCCCCAGTTGCCCACACTTCAATGTGCGGCCCCTTCCTCCACCGCCACGTCCCCTGTCCCTCCAGGCTGGGTGCAGGCACGGGATCCCCTCCCCTGAGAGGACTTCCTGCCAGCTACATCCCTCCTTAAACAAGACCTTGGAATAGGGGTCCAGCTCCGTGGCCCACGAGTCACGCCATAGGTGTCGGGCGTCAAGTGTCGGGGTCAGCCCTGGGCAGGGAGGAAATTTCACCCACCTTTGGGTCTTGAGCACCTGGCGGAGGGAGGGGGCGGTGGGTGAGATTGGGGTGTGGGGAGGGGGGCATGATGAGCACAGAAAAGCTGCCCAGGAGATTATGGAGCAGATGGCAGATATCGGGTGTCATTAAGAGGGAGCAGGGAGCCCAGCCAGGGGAGGGAGGTTGGGGACGGTGGCAGATGTGGCTGTGATCCCCAGCCCCACTCCTCAGGTGTGAAGTGGGGTGACCACCCCATTGAGCGGGGGGAGAAACTAGTAGCAGCGTGAGGGCTGGAGCTGGCCCGAGGGGTCCTTGGTGACCTGGTCTGCCCCAGGGCTGGCTGGGAAGGATGGGCTGAAGGGAGGGCTCCTTGGCTTTTGGGGCTCTGGGTGAGGCAGCTAGGAGTTCCCCAAACAAGGGGCCCCCAAGTGCTGCCTCACCGGGAAGACAATGGGATTTCGGGCAGAGAGGTCCTGCAGAGGCCGCATTGATACAGGGGTGCTGCCAGCAAGCTCTGGGAGAGGGGGCGAGGCGCGGCCTCTGGTGGCTCTGGGCTAACGTCACTATTGATACAAAGATGCCCATAAACAGGCTGCGCTAAAACCATCCTGAGGCCGGGCTCAGAGAGGGGTGCTGGCCGCCCTCCGTTTTCCTGAGGGGCTGGCAAGGACTTGTAGAGTCGGGCTGGGCAGGGCCCCTCCTCCTGCGGAGCGCCCCAGGGTGCCCTGCCTCGGGGCACGGGGCACCTAGTGCGCGCTGCGGGCGGGCCTCTCAGCAGCCTTGGTCTCCCGTGGGCTGGGGCCATGCCCCCGTGACCCCCAGCATGGCAGGGGTGCCCTGGAGGACGTACCAGCCCCAAACCTGGCCCCTCAGGACCAGCCCGAGACTTTTGGGTGCTCTTGTCTCTCTGGCTGTGGGGGAAGCCAGCGTTGTAGGCAGATGTCCCCTCCTCCAGGGAGGCTGCCAGGCCTGCCCACCAGGGCGAAGAGAAACAGTGTGGGCCGTGGCTGGGCCTGTCCCTATTGGGGCTCCAGCCCCGCCCCCTCAGGGACAGCTGGGGGTGGGATCAGTGCCCCTCTTTATAGCTGGGGGCTAGACGCGGGGCCTAGGGTCTCACCCTGGGGCAGGGGTCAGAGGGACCATAGCCCCGCCACGGTCTCAGCCCCGGCCTCCCTAGAGGGGTTGAGCTGCTCTCCGGTGTCCCAGCAGCCCTCCCTCCTCAGGCTGAGTGATCACCAGCCTGACGCCGCCCACGCCATCCCCTACCCTCAGCCCCATGTGTCTGCTGCTTTGGGCCCCATCCAGTCACCCCAAAGATGGCAGCAGACCCCCACCTCACCTCACATCCTCTAATTACCTCCACTCCACACTCCTCTCTGCTCAGAACTTTCTGTGACCTTCCCACCCATCCCCCGGACCCGTGGCTTAGCTGTTCAGCCCCTGGCCCCTGGGCCCCGTCCTGTCCCGTCCTGCCGCCCGCTTTGGGGCCCAGGAGGAGCCGGGAGGGGGTGGCGCCCCTGCACCCCGGTGCAGAGCTGAGCACTCGGCAAGGGCCAGCTCCCTCAGTCCCGTGTGGGGACACTGAAGCCCCAGCGATGGCGTGGCCATGACAGCCCACGGCGGCCTGGGAGCCAGCCGGACCGGGCCACGGCTCTGGCCGGGGTGTGGGGCGAGGCTGCCCGGCTCTGCCACACCGGGGTCTGCGGCCCGCCCGCCTTCTTGCCACTGCCTTTGTTCTCGCCCCCTCCGGGCCCACGAGCCCTTGCTCATCTTTCAGAACCAAGTTCGAGGTCACCTTCCGAGCTTCCCTGGACAGTCGGGTGCCTGGCAGGGTGTCTACTTGGCCCACGAGGCTGTGACCACCGGGAGGGGGCTGCCCCCCACCCTCAGGCCCAGCAGGGCACAGCCACACCCAGGAAGGAGCTGCTGGAGGGGGCAGGAGGGGGCTGGACCGGTGCCAGGCCGGTGGGGGGCCAGGTCCAGCAGCTGCAGCCAAGTGCCTACACCCCAGCCTGGGGCGCCTCGTGCACTCCTGTGCCCCACCCAGCACCCACCTGCTCCCTAGCTGGCTCGGGGCTCTTTGTGCTCCTGGCTCCCCCCGCCCCCGCACAGCTGCATCCCCAGCTGCCCCTGCAGACGAGTGACAGCTAGCGTCCTGGCCGCGCCACACCCGCGGACCCCTCCCCGGGCTGCCTGGAGCAGGACCCCACATTGCACAAGCAGTGAGGGGACACTCCCGCATTGTGGGGTGCGGTGCTGCCCTCTCCCAAGCCCCCGAGCGGACCCAACCTCTGTCCTGGGGGCCTGCTCTGTGACCGAGGGGGTTGGGGTGCTTGCTCTCTGACAGCCCTGGAAGCCGGTGCTGAGAAGGCCTCTCCATGGGTCATTTCTCTCCACTTTCTGTCCCTTCGCTCATGACCTCTATGGCCGCTTGAGGGGCCAGTCGCTCTGCAACTGTCCACCCTGGCCCACGGCGTATGAGACCCCAGGGAGGCTGCGCATGGGGGTAGGGGGCCTAGCCCAGCTCCCCAGGCCTCTGAGTCGGCTCCTACCCGTGGTGTGTAGGGGACCTGAGGCCAGGTCCCCCGTGGGCCTAAAGGAAATGCTCTCCCGTGATAGGCCTCGCCTGGCTGTTGTCCCTTTGGCCCCTGCCCCCAGCTGAGCCCCAAGCTCTCCCCCGTGACTCTGAGAGGCAGGTGGGGCAGCCCACTCGCCGCCTGCAGGGGGCAGAATTGAGCCGGGACTGAGGCCTGAAGCCCCTTCTGGAGC